ATCACGATTAAGAACATGTCCCCTCAAAATATCACCATTCAAGAAGGCATCTCTTCTGCTCATCAAGGCTGTGTTAGATACTATAAAACAGTGAAATATTATTCTAATGTAAATCATCAGTTTTCTATGTGAATGTAAAGTGTAATTTATTCCTGTGATTTTCAGCATCATTACTCCACAGTCTTCAGTGTCACATGATCCTTCAGAAATCACTTTAATATGATGATCTGATGATCAACAAACATTTATGATTATTATCAATGTTGAAAACAGCTTTTAAAAAATAGATTTTATTTTTCATGGTTATTTGATGAAAATAAAGTTCAAAAGAGCAGTATTTATCTGAAATAGAATCTTTTGTAACATTTTACTGGAACTTTTGATCAATTTAATGCGTCTTTGCTGAATATTGATATTATGTCCAAAATCTTGCTGAACCCAAACTTTTGAATGGTCGCATAATCTTGTGAAGTCTCTGGGGAATTGTGCTTAATTATTATGGAAATGATCCTAAAACGGGCCTTTTCTCCATTCGAGAGTGAATGTGACTTATCTATATTTTGTGAGTCATTTGTTGAAAATGATCACAAACGTAAAATATTGTTATGATGGCGTGGTGACATGATCTTTACTCCGAGAATAGAGCTGGATCTGGTCGTGGTTGCAGTCAGACGCCTGTTCTCTTGCGGTCGGGTCCGGTCCACGAGAGGCCCGAGAACAGCTCGCCCCTTTACAGTTCAAACATGTTTCATTCCCAGATTCGGGAAAGCCAGGATGTGGCTTCAGATGAGACAAACCGAAGCAAATTGTCCTTCCCTTTAGCTCATTTTGCTTTAGCATTGCACAATTTTTCAAGAAAACACGTCTTTAGAGACCCAGAAGGAGTGCATGTGATGTTAAAGCGAGTCGTTGGCTCTGGATGTCCTCGCACACACTGATTGAACTGATACGTCTTGTTTAATTCAGGCTAATTTACAAAAGTGGTTGGGTTTGTTCAGGTCAGTATACATTTTTTTGGATTGCTAATACCACACATTTATTAATTCAATCTCATAATATTAATTCACATCCTATTAATTCTAATTCTATTATTTCATTGCAAAATATCGATATCAAAATATTAGACCAAGTGGCGTCTTAACTTTTTCAAGTTTTATTTATTTTATTTTATATTTTTTTTTACCAATTATCCCTTTCTACACTTTTTAAAACCATTTAATTTTTTTTATTTAATTTTATTATCAAAATATCAGACAAAGTGGCATCTTCAAAACAAATGATCCCTTTTCTAATTATTTAATTTAATTTACTTTTTAAATTGTTTTTTATTTTATTTTTCATTTTATTTTATTATTTTAATTTTTTTAATCAAAATTTTAGACCAAGTGGCATCTTCAAAACAAATGATCCCTTTTCCAATAATTTAAATTTATTTTTTAATTTTTTCCATTTTATTTATTTTATTTATTATTATTATTATTATTATTATTATTATTTATGAATATATCAGACCAAGTGTCATCTTCAAAACAAATGATCCCTTTCCAATTTTTTTAAATTATTTTTTATTTTATTTTATTTTTCATTTTATTTATTTTATTTTATTATTATTTTAATTTCTTTAAAGACCAAGTGGCATCTTCAAAACAAATGATCCATTTTCAAATAATTTAATTTAATTTAATTTAATTTAATTTAATTTAATTTAATTTAATTTAATTTAATTTAATTTAATTTAATTTAATTTAATTTAATTTAATTTAATTTAATTTAATTTAATTTAATTTAATTTAATTTAATCCTTTATTTGATTTACCTGAATATGAAACAGCCAGTTCCTGAGATAACACACTGCACTGCTGAATGAAGGCCCTGCGGGGACGGTGTGTGTGTAGAGATGATTGATTGATGGGCGACTGAGATAATTGCCCGTCTAAAGTTGCGTCGAGATTATCTGAACATGATCTGTGCAAGTTTTGGCACAGACGTCGAGGAAAGTCGATCGGTGGATCCGCTGGAATGTAGAAATGTCTGAGTTACAGATTCAGCTCTCTCTCTCTCTGTGTGTGTGTGTGTGCGTGTGTGTGTGTCCCGAGGCTGTTTTGACATGCACTGGATGCACGAGATCTCAGTGCTTATATGAAGAGCACTCCCTCTAATTAAAGACTTTACTTTAACAAGCGTCTGATTTGCTGTGTTTTGATGGCAGTCTGGAGATGAAAGATAAACAAGCTCATCATTTTCTCTTCCCATGTTTCTTTTTATCCGCAGCATGTTTGTTCCGGTACAACTGGCTGTCCTTCGTCTACCTCATCTACCTCTTGCTGATCCCACTGTTCGCCGAGCCGACGAAGACCACGATGCGAGGTGAGCGCTGTGTGTGTGTGTGTGTGTGTGTGTGTGAGTTTAGCACCAACTGCAACCACCAAATTCAGGATTCACAAAAACTTTTTTGGGATATAATTATTTATTTTATTTATCAAAATATCAGACCAAGTGGCATCTTCAAAACAAATGATCCCTTTTCCTTTTATTTTATTGATTTATTTATTTTTTATTTTACAAATTTTTTACAAAAACAGGATTCCCCAAAACTTGCAAAGTACAAATCGCTATTTAACGAAACTTACGTTTTTATTCTAACTTTAATTCTTAATAAAACCTATATAGACATATAAAAAAAAGCCAAAACACACAACAAAATTAATAAATTAATAAAACATTAAACGACAGAAATTGTAAGAATAAAATGTAATTCAAAATAATAACAAATACTGCAGTAGTAAGTTAGTGATGCTAAAACATCACTTATATTTTAATAACTACATCTCAATATCATCAGCTTTGGTGTTAATAAATAAATGCATACATTAGCTTGGTATACTTTATGTCCCGGAAATGGAAAATTAGTTTTGTGCTCATGAATACAGCCTCTGCAGCACAAAAAATATAGAACAAACATAATACATGAAAATAAAAATAAAAAATATTATTGATTTTATATAAACGTGTGTATATATATATATATATATATATATATATATATATCACAGAAAAGTAGTTGAATGTAAAAAAGTTACATTTTATTTCAGCAAAAACAAAAAAGTATTTATTGTAATTTTAAGATTGCTTTGGAATCCAATGGTGATGAGTGACATCAGTGTGTCTCTGACTTGTGATTCTCTCCAGCGAGTCCCTGACAGAAAGAGCCCGTTACGCTAGTAAGGTGTGTGTGTGTGTGTGTTCACTCAGTGGTTGAGAAGAGATTCCCTGATATGATTTTAAAGCGTGTTGTGTGTACAGTAGTATATATGAAAGAGCTATACTGCTTGCTTCTTTGATTCATTGATTCATTGATTCATTCATGTTCTTTAAAAGAGGTTGTGTTGAGCAGTGAGATGTTGTTTGAGCAGCTTAATCTGCGCTTCAGCCGAGCCTGAGTGAGTTCTCTAGCTTGACCGGGGGTGTGGGGGGTGAGGGGGGGTGGAAGTGTGGGAGAAGGAGGAATGCAGACTCTTCTCTTTTCCCAGCATTCCTCAATGTGTCACCAGTTCACAAGTTCAGCTTTACCTCGTCAGATTCAGCAGATTTTGTTAGTTTGTGTGTTCGTGAGTTTGTGTGTTCGTGTGTTTGTTAGTTTGTGTGTTCGTGAGTTTGTGTGTTCGTGTGTTTGTTAGTTTGTGTGTTCGTGAGTTCGTGTGTTCGTGGGTTCGTGTGTTTGTGAGTTTAGTGAGTTCGTGTGTTCGTGAGTTCGTGAGTTCGTGTGTTCGTGTGTTCGTGAGTTCGTGTGTTCGTGTGTTTGTGAGTTTGTGTGTTTGTGAGTTTGTGTGTTTGTGAGTTCGTGTGTTCGTGTGTTTGTGAGTTTGTGTGTTCGTGAGTTCATGTGTTCATGAGTTCGTGAGTTCGTGTGTTTGTGAGTTCCTGTGTTCATGAGTTTGTGTGTTCAAGAGTTCGTGTGTTCGTGAGTTCATGTGTTCATGAGTTCGTGAGTTCATGTGTTCGTGAGTTCATGTGTTCGTGAGTACATGTGTTTGTGAGTTTGTGTGTTCGTCAGTTCATGTGTTCGTGAGTTTGTGAGTTCGTGTGTTCATGATTTCCTGTGTTCTTCAGTACATGTGTTCGTGAGTTCATGTGTTTTTGAGTTCATGTGTTCGTGAGTTCATGTGTTTTTGAGTTCATGTGTTCGTGAGTTCATGTGTTTTTGAGTTCATGTGTTCGTGAGTTCATGTGTTTTTGAGTTCATGTGTTCGTGAGTTCATGTTTTTTTGAGTCTGTGTGTTCGTGAGTTCATGTGTTTTTGAGTTCATGTGTTCGTGAGTTCATGTGTTTTTGAGTTCATGTGTTTTTGAGTTCATGTGTTCGTGAGTTCATGTTTTTTTGAGTCTGTGTGTTCGTGAGTTCATGTGTTCGCGAGTTCATGAGTTCGTGAGTTTGTGAGTCTGTGTGTTCGTGAGTTCCTGTGTTCGTGAGTTCATGAGTTTGTGAGTTTGTGAGTCTGTGTGTTCGTGAGTTCATGTGTTCGTGAGTTCATGAGTTTGTGAGTTTGTGAGTCTGTGTGTTCGTGAGTTCATGTGTTCGTGAGTTCATGTGTTCGTGAGTTCATGTGTTTTTGAGTTCATGTGTTTTTGAGTTCATGTGTTCGTGAGTTCATGTTTTTTTGAGTCTGTGTGTTCGTGAGTTCATGTGTTCGCGAGTTCATGAGTTCGTGAGTTTGTGAGTCTGTGTGTTCGTGAGTTCATGTGTTCGTGAGTTCATGAGTTTGTGAGTTTGTGAGTCTGTGTGTTCGTGAGTTCATGTGTTCGTGAGTTCATGAGTTTGTGAGTTTGTGAGTCTGTGTGTTCGTGAGTTCATGTGTTCGTGAGTTCATGTGTTCGTGAGTTCATGTGTTTTTGAGTTCATGTGTTTTTGAGTTCATGTGTTCGTGAGTTCATGTTTTTTTGAGTCTGTGTGTTCGTGAGTTCCTGTGTTCGTGAGTTCATGAGTTCGTGAGTTTGTGAGTCTGTGTGTTCGTGAGTTCATGTGTTCGTGAGTTCATGAGTTTGTGAGTTTGTGAGTCTGTGTGTTCGTGAGTTCATGTGTTCGTGAGTTCATGTGTTCGCGAGTTCATGAGTTCGTGAGTTTGTGAGTCTGTGTGTTCGTGAGTTCCTGTGTTCGTGAGTTCATGTGTTCGTGAGTTCATGAGTTCGTGAGTTTGTGAGTCTGTGTGTTCGTGAGTTCATGTGTTCGTGAGTTCATGAGTTTGTGAGTTTGTGAGTCTGTGTGTTCGTGAGTTCCTGTGTTCGTGTGTTCATGTGTTCGTAAATTTGTGTGTTTGAGTGTTCGTGAGTTCGTGTTTTCATGAGTTTTTGAGTGTGTTTATATGACTCTGCGGTTCTGGGGCCTGTTTCAATAAGGAGGTTCAACCAACTCCGAGTTTAAGCTTGAACTCTGAGTTGACTTACCCTGAGATGGGAAACTCTGAGTTTTCGGTTACAGAACAGCTGAAATTAGTTAGTTCAATCAACTCTGAGTTGACTGACTCTGAGTTAAGCGCGTGCACCACAACTATAAAAAGCCATTATCAATGGAGCACAGATATTATGAGTCACCATGGCAACAGCCAGACAAAAAAAGAGGTGTTGGGTGTAATTAATTACCAAGTAATCTAAATATTGTAATTTAATTAAAGGGATTACTCTTAATTCTTCTGTAATTTAAAATAAAATATGATGCAATTACATTAAATAGGCTACTGCATAAACTATAGACCAATTCAGTATAAAACAATAGTGGATTTAACATACATTTTTAAAAGGTATATTTTTGGTGTAACCTTCTCCCTCTATACACTTTGATCAATTCAAGAATAATTCATGCAATTATACATTGTTATTTGAAAGCATTAAAAGTGCAGTTTCTTGTCTCTCCTCCTTGTATTAATCAAGTGGTTGAGGTTGATATAGGATTTAGTAATATGTAGACCAATACTTTCTAGAGATAGTAATTGTTACATTAATCTAACTACACCGTTGAAAATGTCATTTGTTGTTAATAATTCATAATCATAACTATTTTAGAGTAACTTACTGTTATAATATCAGAGGTGAAACTGGAAGAATGTCATTCAACCTAAGCTTCTATTACTTTGATAAATTTTTACTTAAGTAAAAGTAAAAATACCAGTCTAAGTAAAAAGTAGTTAATTTAAAACATGAGTAAAAGTTGCTGAGTAACTTGTTTAACAGCAGGGGTGGCGTGGGGGACTTCACAGTATGAGAACCGTCTCAGAAAATATCACGCTTTATGGTATTAAACAATTATTAAATATATAAACTGCATTATTAAATTACGGTTATTATCATCAGTTAAATAAATTAAACATTTGTTCAATAAAACATAATCAACTTACTTCAATAATTGATTATGAATAAGATTAACATCTTATTTTTTTATAATTAATAACTTATTAAATTATGTTTGAAAAATAATTGAGTTCTATTATTTTTTTATGATTTAATAGAAATATATGATCAAAAACGGTGGTAATCAAATAAAAGTTTAGCAAACGTTTTAATCCTTTTATTTTTTGGTAAAGTGCTGCAAACCAGATTTAGTCAATTAAACCATGGACAAACAATATATATATATATATTCCTTAAAGAATGTAAAGTGTTGGTGTTTAAACAGCACTTACTCTTTAAAAAAGGGGAGGAGACCGCAATAAACTCTGGGTTTACTGAAGAAAACCTGCTCCCGACCAGGTTAGGTTCACAGAGTAAGTTACCATGGTAACTGACTCTGAGTATAAGTTACCTCTCTTTCAGAAACGGGCTTGACTTACTCTGCTTTTTTGGGTTTGATATACCCCCCTTTCTGAAACGGAAAACCCAGAGTTTCCCTCATTTCAGGGTTAACATACTCAGAGTTTTCACTTAACCTCCTTTCTGAAACAGGCCCCTGCTCACACTGACTCTGATGTGTGTGTGTGTGTGTGTGTGTGTGTGTGTGAGGCTTGCAGGGGCTTGTATCGTGAGCTCATCTGAGTTTGACAGCTGATGTGAGCTCGGTTTATTAGCGGCGCCTGCTCAGACAAGCTTTGCTATTGTTACTCACTCATTTCTCTTCAAACCGTTTGTGGAAATCAATTATACCAATGATCGCTGATGACTGATTTCTTCCTAAATTGTAACTATGAAACAAGCGTTTTCTGTAAAACGATATGGATTGTAAAAAGCACTGTAACAAATAAACTCTTTTTTTTTTGATTGATCACTTATTTAATAAGGATATGTTATTAAATAAGTGACATTTGGTCTATCCTTGAAAAACACTGCAGTGTTATTTTAGTATTCTGTATTAATATTAATAAAATATTATATTTTATTTAT